GATACCCAAGGCAGGAGGACCACAGGGAAGGGGAGGGCGACCCTCCCTTTCCTATCCTGACCTCTGCCAGGCTGCAGGGAGAATGCAGGAGTCAGCTGAGCTGTCCATGTGGCACTGCCCAGGCCAACCTGCACCGCAGGCCTTCCCCGGAGGGCACGGCCTCTGCTCTCTGGCTGGGCCCAGTAGCAGCTAGCTAGACACCCTTGGCTCTAGGCAAGGCAGGCAGCACAGAGCCCTGGCTCCCCCATGGGGCAGGGGCTCTTGCAGGGCCCTCCAACAGCCGAAGAGAAAACTCGCCAGATGGAGGGGAAAGGGCCTTCACAAGTGTGAGGTGGGCAGCACCCCGGGCTGAGCCCCCACTCCCGGCTGGAGGAGAGTTCAACAAGCAAACTAGACCACAGACAACATCAGAAAACTAAGTCAGCCCCAGAGCTGCGTTCCATTCCACGGGTGCCAGGGGACTCCGGCCCATGGGGGATGAATAAACACCTGGTATTCACCATCCTGCACCCGACCCTACAGATGCCCGGAGCTGGCACCCAAGGAAAGCACCAACTCACCTCAACAGAACGCAGAGCTGGCCTTAGCCCCTGCCTACCACAGCAGCGCCATCTGCTGTGAGGGGATCCTCTGCTGGTGACGATGGACCAAGCCCAAGGTCCTGGGTCGGCCCAGAGGACTAAGGGAGTGGGTGTGAGTGGCTGGCATTCCAGGCTGCCTGAGAGGCAGTGCAGCCCAAGCGCTCTGAGATCGGAGGGTCCCAGTGATGGCTCCCTCTGCACATGCTAACCCCGTGGCCTTAGCCAACGCACCCTTTTTTATCCTGGCTGAAAGCAAAAGGAAGGATGCTCTCCAGATCCCTGGGAGAAGCATGCAGCTCACCAGCATCAGAACACACGCAGCCTGCCCTGCCCCATCTACAGCAGCCCCTCGGGGGCCTGGAGGCCGAGGTACAGCACGTAGCCAAGGTTGTCGATCTCCTCCTGGCACAGGCTGGCGAAGAGGTTCACACCGGGGTTGAAATGGCAGGGCAGGCTGGCCCGCTCCAGGCTGCCGATGAGCAGCTCCACAGCCTGCAAAAAGCGCTCCCCCAAGGCCTCCTCGGCCCAGTCCACCTCCTCCTCTCCCAGATGTAGAACCACCTGGGTCAGGTGGCCCCGGCTCAGCTGCCTCAGGGCCGGATGGCCGCGGCAGACACGACACAGTAGCAGCAGCAGCCGCCGGCGGGTCCCAACCTCACAGCCATCCAGAGCTCGCAGCCTGGCAGCCTCCGCCGGGTACAGATCCTGCAGCCAGAGGTTCCCAGCCGGCCCCTCCAGGGGCCAGGCCACCAGGAGCCGGTCTTCAGCGCTGGCGCCGGTGATGGCCAGGAGCACAGCAACGGTGAGATCCAGGCGCTCGTGCTGCACCTCAAGCAGCAGCTCCTCCGAAGCCACGCTGGGCCAGATCAAGCACCCGAGGAGGCTGCCAATGACTGGCCAGTTGATGGAGGCGGCCAGTGCCTTGCGAAACAGCTCCAGCAGGACACGGGAAGAGAGGTAGCCACCCACTAGGAAGCGGTCCCAGGGGCTGCTTCCACGGGGACAGAATTCAAGCTGAGTCCTACGCACAGCCCAGCAGCGAGGGTCCCTGGCCACAGTGTCCATGCCAGGTACCAGGCTCCACAGACCCGGCTCCAGCACCAGGGGTACCAGGAGACGCACATCGTCAGCAGCCCCTGCCTGCAAGCCATCATAAAGCGGCCCCCCAGGCACAAGCACCCCAAAGGGCAGTTCTGGGAACTTGCTCCGCAAGGAGGCCTGCAGCTCTAGGGCAATGTCGCCAGCCAACTGTTTGGCCAGAGCCACGTGGGACACTGGGATGCTCACGTGGTCTCGCTCGAACGCCAACAGCTTCTCCTGGAATGTCAGGCACAAGAGTCCTGGGGAGGCAAGCTGAGGAGACGCCTGAGGGTCAGCATCTGCAGGCCCCTCTGCAGAGTGAAAGGGCCGGGGAACATGTCAGAAGGCCCTGTGATGAGCCACGAAACCTCCCCCAGGTTACCAGGTGTGTACTGGCCCGGGCCTCATCCCCCTCACCTGTAAAAGAACCAGCTGAGAAAGAGCACCCGCTCAAGTCCTCACGTAGAAAGACTACTTTGATGACCAGTTCTCATTGCCTCAGCTCCCCAACTCTTTGGGGCCAAAACAGCTCATGCCGAGTGCAGTGCGGTCCTGGACCTTGGTTTCCTGACCTGAGGCCCCCATATCAGAAGGCTACTGCCCTACTGTGATATCACCCCCAAAGTCCACATGTCCCAGTGGTTGACCGAAGGCAGAAAAACACACCATGAAACATGCAGGGAGCCCACACCCCTGGAGGGAGAGGGGCTTGCACAGGGCACAGTCGTCAGTGGCAGAGCCTGGGCTGCATCTCCTGAGTGTGACCACCAAAGGGGGACCCACCAGGTTAGAGGGGAAGGGGTGCCATTCACCTGGGGCAAAAAGTGAGGGGACTGGGAGCAGCATAGGCTGGCTGGGGGCAGCAAGTGAGGGCCGGGGCTGTGGGCGTGGTGTGGCCTTGAGCAGGCTCAGTTCCTTCCAGCTGTCCTCTAGGCTCCTGGCGTCTGCCTTGGCGTCATCCTCGTCCTGCGAGCTGGCAGCCCTGTCAATGAGCTGCAGGCAGAGCGCACAGGTCAGCGCACCTGAAGCCTGGGCAGCACAGCACAGCCCAGGGCAAACCCAACAAGCTTGCTGGGTAGAGAAGCAGATGCCAGCCGTGGGCAGGCCCCAGCCCCCTCCCAGGGCCCCGCTGCAGGCCCCAGCCCTGTGATCCTCCCCTGGGAGCCCCAGGTGTCACTGGTCCACCATGGCCTTACCCGCTTCACAGCCAGGGTGGCAATACCCAGCACGGCAGCCCCGCCCACACCCAGCACCAGGCGGGCATTGGCCAGGAGGAAGTTCACCGCACTGCCCAGCATGTCGTCGTCATGCCGCTTCCCCCGTTTCTGGAAGAACTCTGCCATGTCTGCCTACAAGAGAGCCAGGGTGCAGGGACCACTGAGTATGGGGCAGCCAGGCAGACGGGGCAGGCGTGGGTGGGCACTCCGGTTGCCATCCTGCTGGGGTCTCTGGCTCAAGCCCACAAGGGGTTCCTGAAAGTTTCAACAGAAAGCGGCCACTCAAGGATTTCTTGTAAGGAGAAGGGGGGCTGCCTGAGCCCCCTTCCCCAAACCTGCAAACAACCTACCCCACCCCTGGACAGAGGGGCTCACACAGAAAGCGCCTAAGGCAGGTCAGAGAAGGGCCCGGCACCCCGACCCCAGGGTTCTGACATCCCCGAAGACCCCTAAGGAAGGTCTTATCGTCACTCCCGTTTTACAGAGAAACAGGCTGCTGGCCAGTGAGTCCTCAGCACGTGCACGGACAGCAAAGCCCCCAGGATCTTGCCCCCCAAAGGCCCCCGGTCAGGCCCTAGAGGCGCCTCCTGCTGGTTAAGTAGGGCGGGCACCCGGGAGGAAGCAAGGCCCGTGAAACCCACGCCCTGGGGCCCAGACAGCCTGCCCGGGAGGGCATCTCAGTGCGGCCAGTTACCTCCACATCTCGACAGAGCAGCGCCAAGGCAGAGCTGCCAAGTCAAGGACGGGCGGGGAGATGGCCCGGGCTGCCTGGCAGTGGGTGTGTGACAGCGGAAAAGGCTGCACTCAGGCTCCAGAGGACTGGCCGGGCCGCGACAGGGCCTCCCGCCTCCCGGGCTGCGGACCGGGGCCGGGGAGCTGTCCCCGCGGTGGGGAGCCGAGCAACAGGAAAGGTCAGCGGCCGGCCCGCTGCTGCTCAGCTTC